CATACAAAACTCTTACAACTGAACTTCAACGGACTCCAGGGCAAGATTGAAGATAGCAGTCGGCATGGCAGATTGATAGCTGCGGTTTAAGAAACGAACTTAATAATAATTTTAAACAAAACTTCGAAACTGCTGTACTAGTTTTTAGTCCGAAATCAGAAAAAACAAGTAAAGAAGTATAAGTTCGGGCGAAACCCAGCATCTTTATACCCGGCGCAGGTATCAAATATCGTCGTTTCAACTTTCTCTTAACTACCTTTGCATGATAAGTAGGGTGTCTTTACCCGCTTTCAAACGTTATCGATAATATGCAGAGTTAGACTTAATGATATAATTGAACCTAGTTAGGTACAAATCGATTAAGCGGTTACCGAGGAGATTGTTGTAACTATTAACTTGAAGTAAATTAGCGTCCTCAGTTATTGAAATATCAGTTTTCGTATTTCTGAAATTTACCGTTATACGCGAAGTGGGTGTAATTTTAGTCCGATTTGAATAATTTTCAACAAATTGCTTTTCCGTTCCAAGGTTATTAAGTGCACCGAGTTTGGTGGAAATTGATAAATTGGTTACCGAGATACACATTTGTAGTCATAAGTGGGCGGCGCCACGTCCATTATACAAAAATTTATACTAGTCTAATTTTTTGCTGTGGTCATTGCAATAATCGATTTTGAGTCAATTAGCTGCAGTAGTTACTGATTTATCGCAGTTTTCGTGTTTCTGTAAATTCCCGTTATATGGCAGGTGGTTGTGGTTATTGCCCGATTTCAAAGATTTTCAACAGAGGCGCGTACCGGGTTTGCTAAGGATTGGTGAAGCGGCTACTGAGATACAGCATTTCATCATAAGTGGGCGGGGTCACGCCCATTTTCCAAAAATTTCATAACAATATTATTTTTTACCACAATTCTACTCTGCATACTAATTTTCAACAATTTGCATCCAATATTTACTGAAATATCGCAGTATTTGCATTTTTCGAAAATACCGTTATATGGGAAGTGGGCGTGGTTACGTTTCGCCCATTTTCCATACCAATCTACCTTGGATAAAGGGCAACCTACAATTGAGATATCTCAATTTTTGCTCGAGTTATCGTGTACACGGACAGACGGACGGACGGACAGACAGACATGGCTTAATCGACTTCTCTTTTCATTCTGATCATTTATGTATACATTTGTCCATATCTATCTCGATTCGTTTTGGCTGTTATAAACAACCGTTATGCGAACAAAGTTAATGTACCCTTGTGCACAAGTGCGCTCGGATATAAAAATTTGCGTAAAATGTCGATGAAATTTCGAAGTTTAACTTCACAATAGTTATAATTTGGCTCTCCAAGGGCCTAGACTGGGCTCAAATTAAAGATCTTGAATAGCACTAAAACGCACATGTGAGCGAGGGATATAAAATTGTGTGAAGGATGCATAGCTGCAAGCAAATCATAAAAAATTCAATATATAATGCATTTTTCAAATTGGTGGGTTAACACTTTTTTTTCATTTTTTTAAACAGTGGAATCGCGTTTCTCGTCGAAAAATCTAAAATATTAGTACAATAAAAATACAAATTTTTTTTAGAATAAATTCAGTGGATTTTGCATGTTTTTTCCGAAGAACACTATTTTTGTCCAATTTTTTTAAGATAAAGGAGTGATTGTGGCTCAATGGCAACTGTGCGATGCCCCCATCAGGATTGTGGGCAGCTGCAGCAGCTCGCCAGACATAACAACTTCTAGCGCTGGTCTGATAAATAGCATATCATGGCGACCTTTGCTAACGCTGGCTTCAGACCATCCGCCCATAATCATCTCGATCAATAAGCCCACCGACTCTGCACCCGCGGACCACCGATCTTATACCAACTTTAACAAAGCTATGATATACATGCATTCTGGCGAACGCCAGTTCCGCAGGGTAGTCACTGTCGCAGCGGCTCGCTTCATACCATTCAGACGCATCGCGGAAGTCCGCCCAAATTTCCCGGAGGAAGCAGCTGTACTAACAAATTAGCGTGACCACCGACGCCAGGTCGATCCCGGGGATCCTCGCCTGAAGGTCCTTAATTTGGAGATTCGGCAACTGGTTAATCAGCACAAGCGGAAAAACTGGGAAGAGCACTTGAAATCCTGTAACTTCGCCTCTGGTGAGTAAGCTCTGGTCAACCGTGAGGTCCTTGTCCAACCAGCCGAAACGCGACGACAGGGAGGGAATTTCATTCGATGGTCGCACCTCGCTGCATCCTTCGGTAGATAAGGTCAAACGTCGAGTGACCAGGAGGCTTCACAAACTGCCAAAAACCACATGTTTTCACCGGCGGCGAAGTGAAGGGGGCCATCGGGAAGGCGAAAGCCATTCGACCCGACGGAATCTGTATGCTGATGCTGAAACATTTGGGGCCCGCGGGAGTAGCATACCTAACGGAGGTTCTTAACCTGTGAATGGTCACTCTCATCATTCCTGATGTGTGAAAATCAGGGAGAGTGGTCCCACTGCTGAAACCGGGAATCCCACAAACAAAGGAGACTCGTATCGACCGATAACGCTCCTTTCCCCGTCGCGAATACACTAGAGGCCCTGCTGCTCCCTTACTTCACCTACCACCTGACCCCAGCGAAGCATCAGCATGGTTTCCGTAAAGTGCACAGCTCAACAACAGCACTTAACGTCATAAACACCCAAATAACTCGTGGCCTAAACCGCAACCGCCCCTGTGAGAGAACAGTCCTAGCGTTGGACTTGTCAAAGGCGTTTGACACCGTCTGACATTTCACGCTAATGGGAAACATTGAGGCCTCCTCTCTCCCACAGGGACTTAAACGGTGGTCGGCGAATTATATTAGTGGTCGACCGTCGCCAGTAATTTTCCGAGATCAAACCTCGAAACCTAGAAGAATAAAACAGGGGGTTCCACAAGGCGGTGTCCTGTCCTTTCCCCTTACTGATCCACTTCTACATATCGAAACTCCCCAGCCCTGATCTCATACGCTGACGACTGCTCGATATTGGCGGTTGGGAATGACATTGATGACCTCTGCTCAAGAATTCTCCAGGTTTTCTCGCTTCTTCACTGCAAGGAGCTTAACACTCTCCCCAACGAAATCAACGGCGACTAAATAAACCATCTCGTCATAAAAAAAAAAAATTTTAAATAGTTCTTGAAAAACGCCTATTTTGATGGTGTTACTTTAAATCCCAAATTTACTGGCCTTCACTGTGCAAATCAACTTCAAAAAGTCCAACTGTTAATAGCTAAGTTAGCTTTAGCACAATTATGACCATCTTGTATATAGACATGTTAAGTCCGTTTTTTAAGCTATAAAACGACGTCTCTACGATGAGCGGAACCCGAGATATAACGATTTGAAGAAGTACATGATTAGTCAGAATCACGAAAATATCATATCTCCGAAGAAAAAAATTCCTGGAATACGTGTTAGCTTATTTTATTTATAGAACTCATAAAAAAATTTTAAGCGAATCAAAAGTGTGACACCAAATTTAGTGTCCGATATGAAAAAGAATGCCTCATATATATATCTACAAAGTTTGAAACTTTGATTTACTTGTTTTTTTTTTAGATAGTGAGCGATATTTTCATAAAAAAAATTATGTACATTTCTTAAACAAAAAAAGTAGCCAAAACTTGCAAAAATGTATCTTCCCTATTTACATTCTCGCCACCGTATATATTTTATGTATACATTTTTTGCGATCATTTTTCAAGTTTTTTTTTCTGTTTTGTTTTAAATAAAACTATATTGAAAGATGATGTGTCTTTTTATTCTAAAATCAAAATTGTATGTTAGGATTCGATGCTTTAGAAATGTCCCGCTTTTTGGCTTCAGAAATCTGGTCACGTACTAATGCACTAACGCCACTGGAAACATCTAATTTTAAATTCTGTCCAGTCTATTCAAACTTCTTCAACGACCAAGGAAGGTTTTTATTATTAGTATGAGGTCCACCTTCAACGAAAAAATTTGCCATAAATCAATGGTAAGTCCTAGCCTCTTCAGACTTGAACAGCAAAAAAAGAAACGTCGAGACACGTTAACTTACTTTTGGATCGTAGATTACGGATCTGTATACCGTTTTTCTAGATCAGGTTATTTTCCGAAAATATTTCAATTTTATGTTTGCATTGTGAATGAAATAACTAAAACTTTAACAGGGAAACATTTAAAAATGCAGATTTTTTTTTTCATTTTTTCATTTGCGATAAAGGCTGTTCTTTTACACACAAATCCAGCCACTGACGAAGAAAAACGATGGATAAATAAAGTTGTGCATGGTGAAATATGAGCAGGAAAGAATGTTACCAACACCCATGCGCGTACGTGGCGTATTATCTAACCATAGGCAAACTTATTAAGCTCCGTTATTCCTAGTTATTAATTAAATTTAGACTTTTTTATAATACTAGTTAGTTGGGAAAAAATTGCCAAAGTACTGACACCATACTCGGCTTCGTATGCGGTGGGGGGTTAAAAACATTAAACTAATATACTTACCGAAAAAACCCGTATTATAACGCATTTTGCAGACAATAAAAGTTTCGCCGTTTATTATATATAATTTTAAGATCTTCCAATAAGATAAACATTTAGAAAGATTTTATTAAGAAAAAGTAATTTTTTTATTCAAAATTTGTATAAGCACATGTAAAAATAAATGGAAGCATTTTTTAACGAAAGTAAAAAAGGAAGACGACTAATTCATGAATCATCTCTTAACCAATTAAATAAAAAATATATAAATACTAAAATATCTACATATTAAATATATATTTATATTATATATTTAATTAACTGTAAGGCACTTTGAGAATTTTCATCAGTGTTGACCATCTTCGAGTTTTTTGTAACGTTTTGGAATAAATATGTTTTACTTCATTAACACATTATTTGTATTATTGTGTAAAAGGTAAAAGTAGGCATTAATTTACTTTATACAGGTAGTTACGTTAGTAAAGTTTCCGGGTAAATTTTTTTCAAATTTTAATACTACAAAATATTAATTTCTGAACTCACATTGACTTCATTATTTCAATTATAATTTTCATAACTGCACCTAATTTTAATAACATACATCTCCATTGTGTATAAAATATAAATAATTGTATATGAAATTGTTTTAGCGGCATATAGAATAAGTCTGTATACAAAAATGAAATGATATACATACATATGTATATAAAATAAATATTATATATAGATAATTTGATAAATGCAAAAGCATATTTTGCCAATCCTTCGCTCTCCAACTCTTTCCTATGAACTAACTCCCTTTTAAATATACATATACCCATTTTCTGGATAAAGAGATATTTAATATAAAATATATAAATTATCGTAAAAATATATATATTTTTTATAATAATTTAGGATGTATATATAATTTAAAATGTAAAATAACAAAAAACTAGAATTTTAAATAATATGCAAAGTGAGATTTCGTCAAATTATAAAGCTATGTTAGGAAACTTTTCAACAGCTGAGCTCAATTTGTTAAAAACTGGCAGCCGTGCTTCTTCACCACTATTAAGTGATGAAACAGAATTAACTTTGGCTGGAACTTTATTAATATTTCTGATTATAGCCATCGGAGAGCTTGAACTCTTTTGAAGTACCTGCTTACCCTGAATACTAACAGGTTTTACGTACAACGATGTCGGGTTTTGTATAGAATTCAATATGACATTAGGTGGTGGTGTATTCACTGGTGAAATGGGGGCATTTGGGCTTTCAGGTGGAGTGCTAATGTAAGGAAATGTGCTTTGAAAAACAGAATTCACCGGACTCACTTGATCACCAAATGTAAAATTAGTCATAGAGCTGGTAGGACTTAAGGATAGTGAACCTGTTGGTGATTCGCGATCTGAGCCGGTTGACATGCTCAGAGGAGGGCTCAAAGGAATCGAATGATTGGGATTAGCTGCTTTGTTTCCATGTTTAGACTGCAATGGATAGTTTGCGATGCAGTTATGAAAACTGGAATGATTTTGCAGTTTTGGTTGTTGTTGTTGTTGTTGCTGCTGCTGCATTTGTTGTAGAGCTCTAGCTTCATCAGCGTTGTGAACAAAATGACATCTTGGACCATAAGGACAAAATCCAACGCTGTGGAATGTGCGGCAATATTCAGTTTTGTACTTTGGGTGTCTTTGTAGGTTTCGTAACTCATGATATCCATGGGCAAACTGGCACTTTTCTCCATACTTGCACTCACCGGCTTCTTCAAATGGACGACAAAGTTCAGTTTTGTACCTTAAAGTAAAAAAGACAAAGCGTTAATTCAGACAAACAACTAAACTGGACACGATGCTTAGCCCATAAAGTTTAAGGTTTCTAAATAAAAAATTAAAGCTTGAAAGATAAATTAATACCCTTGTCAATTTGTTACGGTGCATAACTTACATTGTCTGAAGTGTTTTTGCACAAAATTTTTGCTGTGGTTGTCGAATAATACAGGTAGGGGATTTACACCTGTTTGGTTATCGGGTTATCTGGCTAAAAATTATTCTTCTGTAGGTACCGTATTTTGCTTTTCTAAACTGAATTCAAAATAACACCACATAACCAGATAACCATGCAGTCTACAATTTTTGGGTATATGTAATTGATAAATTTTGTTGAATTTTAATTTTTGTACAAAGTTCGGTTATGTAATATGCTAGACTTTTATAGAAAAAATATAAACAATAAATAAACAAAAGAAGAAATAAAATAAAAAACTTTTTAACCCGGCGGGAGTGTGGTAACAAAATGTTACAAAGAGTATGTGGCAGGGTATGGCATATCTGCATACAACATATACTCCAAAATGTATTTGACATAAAGAATGTACACGAAAAAAACTGGTCGCACATAACCAAGCATAGCTCGGTTAATCATAACATTAAAATAAAAATCGGTAGACACTTAAAAAGCTGGAAGCATTTTCCACCTTACTGCATCATTTCTTTTTAGTAACAAAAATCAGTGTAGAAACGAGGACCAAGAAAGAAATCGATCGCGAGTTAATATTGCGCAAAAAGCTGGAAAATCCCAGCATGTTCCATAACGACATCGCAAAAAAGCTAAAATTTCCAAAGTCTACCGTTACTTATGTGCTTAAAAAATACAATGAATNGGACATAAAGTCAAAATTGCGATCGTTTGCTTATTACAAAGAAAATTAACTCTTTTTTAACGAATTTCAATAAAACTAAGTTTAGATGTAAATATATGTAAATATCGTTGAATTCCATTAATATATTTATGTTTTAGAACGTTTTAACTGTAACCAGTTTTTTTCGTGTACATTCTTTAGAATGTGCAGTGAATTATAGGTGCTTTACTGTAACAGGCAATGTTGTAGTTCAGTTTTATTTAAATATATGCAGTTTAACACTTTTATTATTACAAATAATTGAAGAAAAACGAAATTATAAACTTTTCAAACAAAAATTTTGGTACTTTTAAAAAATCCACAAAAGATTAACAGGAAACAGTATTTACAAAAAATACCACATACTCCATACATATGGCTTTTCCACATATTGGGATATGAATGTGGACGTTCATTTATTTAGAATGAGATTCTTTGAAGAATAAATGTTGGAATATTACATACGCAGAGGCTCAAACGGTGGTCGGCAAATTATCTGAGTGGTCGACACTCGTCGGTAATGTTAAGAGACAAATCGAGTAAACTCAGAAAAATAAAACAGGGGGTTCCACAGGGTGGTGTCCTTTCCCCGCTACTGTTTAACTTTTACATTTCAAAGCAAGCTTGTAACTCGAGCACAAGCCACCGCCCCACTGCGATCACGCCACAATTCTGTTGTTGTTGTTGTTGTAGCGGCTACAACAACCCCGCCCAGATCGGTTGATATCTCAGTCGTTGTCGTCAGGTTCCACTAACGGCAGCCCTAGGAAGCGTGCAGCCTCCACTGGGTCGGTCCACAGGGACAAAGCCGTTAGGGTTGTCGGGTTTTCCGGGCATGCGAAGAGATGTTTCGAGTCATGAGGGGTCTCTCCGCATGCCGGACACTCATTAGGCAAATTCGCATTCAGTATACTCAGGTATGAGTTTAACGTGCTGCAGTAGCCAGAGCGAAGTTGGGCTATTATGGTTCTTGTCTCGCGAGGCAGATGAAGCTCCGTCTCGTCTATGTCCGGTGGTGGTGTGCCTAGAACGGCATTCACAGGTCTAGAGTTTACATAACTCGAGACTGACTCCCTGTGAATGCCGTTCCGGGCCAGTCGGTATGCTGACGGGCCCAGAGGCTGCTTGATGAACCTCTGGGCTTCGTCCGTCAGTTCGTATAGATGCCTCCTGACGTGCCTAGGCGAGGGCTCCTCTGCAGGCAGCTGTCTGTTCGGGTGGCCACTTCTGTGGCTCCCGATCAGAAACTGCTTGCAGAGCATTATGTTGTGCTCCTTGATTGGGAGCATTTGTGCCTCGTTGTTAAGGTGATGTTCCTGCGACATCAGGAGGCATCCAGTCGCTGTCCTGAGTGCGGTGTGCTGTACTGTCTGTAGCTTCATCCACTGCGTCCTACTAGGCCCCAGCGACCACACTGGTGCTCCGTAGTTTAAAACCGGCCGGCATATTGCCTTGTATGTTGCCAGCAACGTTTCTTTGTTTATGTGTCTTTGCCCCAGGTACTGCCGGCTAGCGACTTTGAGGACCTTGTTGCGGCTCTGTACTTTATTGACAATAGCGGTTGCGTGCGCAGAGAAGGAGAGCAGGCTGTCGAATGTTACTCCGAGTATTTTGGGGTTATTCACCGTCGGAATTGCTGTATCATCGACGTGAATTCCCAGCGGTAGCCTGACCTCCTTCGTCCAGGTTGTGAACAAGGTCGCAGAGGATTTGGTAGGGGAGAGGGCTAGACATTTTGCAGTGAAGAAGCGAGAAAGATCGGAGAGATACCCGTTTACTTTCGAACGCAGGTCATCAATTCCATTCCCAGTCGCCATGATCGAGCAGTCGTCGGCGTAAGAGACAATCGAGACTCCCTCTGGTGGTTGAGGGAGCTTTGAAATGTAAAAGTTAAACAGNCTGAGTTTACTCGATTTGTCTCTAAACATTACAGACGAGTGTCGACCACTCAGATAATTTGCCGACCACCGTTTGAGCCTCTGTGGGAGAGAGTAAGCCTCTATATTTTCTAGTAGCGTGGAATGGCCTTTGACAAGTCCAACGCTACTAGAATCGTTTTCTCACAGTGACGGTTACGGTAAAGGCTACGAGTTATCAGAGTATTTATGGCGTTAAGTGCTGTTGCTGTACTGTGCACTTTACGGAAACCATGCTGATGCTTCGCTGGGGTCAGGTGGTTCGTGAAATACGTGAGCAGCAAGGCCTCGAGTGTCTTCGCTACCGGGGAAAGGAGTGTTATCGGCCGATACGAATCTCCTTTGGCAGGTTTCCCCGGTTTGAGCAGTGGGACCACTCTCCCCACCTTCCAGATGTCTGGGATGATGAGAGTGGCCATAGACAGATTGAGGACCTCCGTTAGGTACGCTACTCCTGCAGGACCCAAATTTTTCAGCATCAGCATGCATATTCCGTCGGGACCCATGGCTTTGGAGGCTTTCGCCTTCCCGATGGCCACCTGAACTTCACCGCAAGTGAAAGCAAGGGGGGCACAAGTTGTTGGCAGTTTGTGCAGCCTTCTGGTCCCTCGACGCTTGGCTTTGTCCACCGGAGGATGCAGTATGAACTGCCGGCTAAAATAGCTCGCGCATCGCTCCGGGTCCGACGAAGCATGGTCGCCGAAAGAAATTTCGACTCTGTCGTCGTGCTTCGTCGGATTGGACAGTGACCTCACGGTTGACCAAAGCTTACTCACACCAGAGGTGAAGTTACAGGTCTTCAGATGCTCTTCCCACTTCTTCCGCTTATGTACGTTCACTAGTTGCCGAATCTGCGCGTTGATATCCCTGATACGGGGATCTCCGGGATCGGCCTGACGAAGGCTATTACGCAGCCGCTTCAGCAGGAAAATTTGGACGTGGGTCCGTAATACATCCTGCAGGTACGAAGCGAGCTGCAGCAGCGGTGACAGTACTGCGGAACTTACGTTCACTAAGGTGGACGTCGGTTGGTGTGGGGAGAGCAGCGAAGGTGTTTTCCGTAAATTCCGCGAAGCCTTTCCAATCAGCTTTAGAAAAGTAGATATAGGTTCGGTGTTCCGCGGAAGCAAAGTCGGTTGGTTTATCGATCGAAATGATCTTATGCCAAAGTCAGCATAGGTCGCCATGATATGCTGTTTATCAGACCAGCGCTGACTATTATGTCTGGCGAGCTGCAGCAGCTGCCCATAATCCTGGTGGGTGCGTCGTCGTTCATTGTGCAGAATGTCGAATCGTCTATCTGCTCAGCCAAGTCAGTTCCCCTACGATCGTTTGACAGGCTTGAGTGCCTAAGATCGTGGTGCGCATTAAAGTCACTTACTACCATACGGTTTTCACCTCTGAATAGCGCACCTATGTCAGGGTGATATCCTGCCGGGCAGCAGGTGACAGGGGGTATATACACATTAAATATTTCGAGCTCAACATCGCCTTACCGGATAGCAATGCCCTGACATTCTAGGGTGGTATCCCTGCGGTCGATGTCTGATTCGATAGGACGATACTGCACGGTGTGGTGCGTGATGAACGCTAGGCCACCACCATTATCTCGCTCGCGATCTCGACGGTGCACATTGTACCCGGCACAATTCAACAATGTTGAATTGCTGTGCAACTTCGTCTCTTGGACCACAGCTATCAATATACCATGCCTTCCCATGAAGACGGTTATCTCCTCGATCTTGCTCTGTAGCCCGTTACAGTTAAATTGAAGGAGCTTCATGTGGTTCGGGAGACGTGTGGTGATGCGGGGTGTGAGAGATGTGTGTGGCCGTGACGCCATTGGCTGTGTGCGCTGTTGAGGTGGTTGCCGCCCTATGATGGTGGTGGGTGGCGTCGCAGTTGAGATCTGCGACCGAGCAGCGCAACACGGGCCCTCGAAGTTCCTCGTCCAATCTCGCGTGGTACGCAGACCTGAGCATGCCCAAGAGTGGCACCAGCCAAGGCAGGTGTTGCACTTGACTGATGTCACATTACGGAATATCCTGGTCTGACATACCTGCAGATTGTAGGAGGAACCAGGAGTTGTTGGCGGCGGCGTGTGGATAGTGGTGCGGTTGTGTGTGTTCTGTGGTCTGTCGAAGTTGTGATATGGTCTATTGTGTTGTTATGTTGTTGTGCTGTGGTGATTTAGTGAGGCT